AATGTTGATTGAATATCCATTTGTGCATTTATTTTCTGTTTAGAAATAATTGCTTTGGGCTATCGGTGGAGGATAGTCATGATTGTTGTAGACAATGCATGATGATTAGGCAAACGGAAACTAATCAATGGAATGTGTCATGGAATTTGACAGTGGATAGAATACATTAACTGTATGTATTGAGTGATTGTATATAGAACCAATGTGTTTGTATACGTTATGTGTAGAGGGGAGATGGGGGATGTACTCCGCGGTTTAGGGGAAGATAGGGGATGCACCTCTAAACCGGATAGTGTTGGGAGAAGATAGGGATGAACTCCGTAAGATACAGCTCATATGCTTGTCTAGAGAAGTGAAGATAGAGCTTATATGCTTATCTTTGAATGTGGGATATAGCTTTATAGCTTATCTGTGAATGCGGGATATTGTTGTTATACATATCTGTTGGAATGTGGATATAGCTTATATGCTTATCTGTGAATGTGGGATATAGTTTTATACATATCTGTTGAAATGATGATAGAGCTAATATGCTTATCTGTTGAAAATGGAAAATGAAAAGTAACTTGGACTCATAAGTCGGATGACATCAATATGGTGATTTATGTGATTGTATCAGTGTTGGCCCATCTATCAATTGCTAATCTTTTAGTCATTGTTCATGGTTGGTTTAGTGTATTTCTACTGGGCTGTGGCTCACCCTATATGGGAATATCATTTTCAGGTACAGGTAGCATGCCACCTCCAAGGATATAGCTTGGGAGGCTAGAGGCCGGCATACTTTTGTCGTTTTATTTTTGATGTATTACATGTAAATTCAAGCCAAGGGCTTAATGTGTTAACGAGTTAGTACTCTTTTGTTGTAACCAAGTGTTAACTTGGAAAGCTGTAAGCCCATAGGGCATTTGCTTTTGTTGTTAACATGTAATACTTTTTGTAATGAAACTCTGATAAATGGAAGAATGTGGAACTTTTACATATCAATGCATATCTTAATTGATGGGTTTAATGTTGTTATTTTGAGTGCGTTACATTTATGAGTGTTTTGTTTTAAAGTGAAATGTCACCATTAAACTATATCATTATGTTTAAAAATTCTATATAAAATTTATGTTTACCATCAGTCAATAAGAATATTTTCAGGTAGAATTTAATAATAAAAAATTTTAAAATGTAGTCATGATGATAGGAAGAAGAAATGGTAGGAAAAATGATAAGACGGTCATTTAGAAAATTTTATTAGAGTATGATTTCAGTAGTTCAGGGAGCAATTTGTAATGAGATTACAAATCTCAGGGAGGGAAATGTAATTTTTCAAATGTGAGAGGGATCTGTATTAAACAAAAATCTCAAGAGGTGTTTGTGTAATTTATCCAAAAAACAATGTTACCTATATTTTCTTCAAATTGTGCATTCCTTATTTTAGGTGATCACTTTTTTAATTATTTCTTTAACAATACGTAGGGATGGCGATTTTAACCTGGCCCGACGGGGACCCCACCCCCCGTCCCCGATAAGAGCGGTTTTTCCCCGAAAAATACCCCTGACGAGCCGAGGATGGTATTTAAAATTAAATCCCTGACCAGTTTCGGGCCGGGGACGGGGATCACTTTTACCGGCCCGGACCCGGTCCCGTGTTTTCCCCGAAGTAAAATTACCATAATGGCCCTATCCATTTATGTATATATAACCCCTGTGTACAATCTGTCAGATTGTGACAAATAATTTGTCCATTATATATATAAAGTAGAGCAAATCTCATCACTCTCACCCAGATAATCTCATCACACTTACCCTCACCTCACTCTCTGATCTGTCTTTCTCTCTCTTTCTTCTCTCCGCACGCAGTCGGCTACTCTGCCTCTCGTTGCCTACTCCACTGTCGTCTCCTCCTCCTCCTCCTCCTCCTCTTCCAATCGTCCTCCTTTGTCGTCGCATTCACAGCCACGGTGCTGAGCCACCCATCGCCAATCCTCCTTCGTCCACTGTCCGCGTCGCCGATCTCAGATCTGTTTGTATTTATTCATGTATGTCTGTGTATCTATCCAATTTTTTATTTATTTATTTATTTATTTTTATGATCTGTTGATGATTGGAGATGATGATGATGTTGTTGTTGATTGTGTTGCTGTTGAAACAGGCTTGGGGGACGGGGAATTTTTTTTTGGGTCCGGGAAATTTCGGGGTCGGGAACGGGGGGCAGTGATAAGTCCCCGTCGGGGATCGGGACCGGGGATGGAGAAAATTTTACCATCGGGGATCGAGGACGAGGAGTGTGATCCCCGGCCCCGCCCCGCCCCGCCCCGTTGCCATTCCTAACAATACGTCTTATTTTTTTATATTTTTAAATATTATTTTATTATTTTTATTCAATTAAACTTATTTTCAAGAGATTGATCAACAAATCTCATATCTTGGACTTGTGATCCTTATAGTTTCATATTTTTTTTGTGATCTATTTAGTCATTTTAGATATATAATGACTCGTTTGATATTATACTGTCCTTAATTGTTGTTGTTTGTTGGAATGTTATATTACAATGTTACATTTAAAAAAAATAGTAACAATTTTTGTTTTTTGGAATGTTAGAGCATCCCCATTGAATCTCCTAAATCCATCTCTTACCTATTTTTAGGAGTCTTTCTTTATAAAATCAACCCCATCAGCTCCCCTAAAATAACTCCCTATATAAGGAATACTACAATTGCCCCCCAAATGTAAGGGCCATTTCCCAAAATAAGCCCAACTACTAACCAATTTTCCAAACGGAGCTTAGTTTGGCCGATATTCCCAAAATAAGCTGAAGCGTGATTACAAATCACACTTTTACCATATTTCTGACCCAGGCGCGAAAAATGGATAAAATCATAAAATCGTGGTTACAAATCACGCTTTTAATTAATAAGCTATGTTGTAAAGAAAGTGTGGTTAGAAACCACGCTTTTAATAACAAACAAAAACACATCACGCCTCACACTCTTTTCTCTCTCTCTCTCTCTCTGGCACACATACGTCACTCACACACAAACTCACATCAAACATATATAATTTTTAATATATATAAATTTTATTTTATAAAATTGAGACCAATATTAAATATATATAATAATAATTTATTATAGAAAATAATAATCAACTATATAAAATGATTACTTTTTTATTTTAATTCTTAAAATTTATTTATTTTTATTTTAAGGTTTAAGATTTAGGGTTTAATTCTTAATTTTTTTTTATTTTAGTGTTTAGGGATAATTTTTTTTATTTTTTATTTTAGGGTTTAGGGTTTAATTCTTCAAATTTATTTATTTTTATTTTAGGGTTTAGGATTTAGGATTTATAATTTATAGTTTAATTTTTAAAATTTATTTATTTTTATAAATCCTAAACCCTAAATCCTAAACCCTAAAATAAAAATAAATAAATTTTAAGAATTAAACCCTAAACCCTAAAATAAAAAAATAAATTTTATCCCTAAACACTTAAATAAAAATAATAATTAAGAATTAAACCCTAAATCTTAAACCTTAAAATAAAAAAAATAAATTTTAAGAATTAAAATAAAAAAGTAATCATTTTATATAGTTGATTATTATTTGCTATTATAAATTATTATTATATATATTTAATATTGGTCTCAATTTTATAAAATAAAATTTATATATATTAAAAATTAAATATGTTTGGTGTGAGTGGTGTGTGTGTGTGTGTGTGTGAGGGAGAGAGAGAGAGAGAGAGAGAGAGAGAGAGAGAGAGGGAGAGAAAAAAGAGTGTGAGGCATGATGTGTTTTTGTTTGTTATTGAAAGTGTGGTTTCTAACTACACTTTCTTTACAACGCAGCTTTCTTTAAAAGTGTGATTTTTAACCACGCTTTATTAATTAAAAACGTGATTTGTAACCACGCTTTTATGATTTTATTCACTTTCCACACCTGGGTCAGAAATAAGGTGAAAGCGTGATTTGTAACCACGCTTCAACTTATTTTGGAAATTTCGGCCAAACTAGGCTCAGTTTGGGAAATAGACTAGTAGTTGGGCTTATTTTGGGAAATGGCCCCAAATGTAAGGAGCAACTGTTCACCCCCCAAAAATGTAAAATTATTTTTTATTCAACCATCATTGGTTCTTGTGCATCTCCACCTCAAAAAATATAAAATAATTAAAAATAATATTTTATTAGAATACAGAAAGAATATGAAATTGTTAAGAGAAGTAGATGAAAAAGTTATTCCTAAAATAGAGAATGAATTTTTTAATAATATTTTAAAATAAAATATAAGTAAGTTGGTAAAGATGCTGTTACATCATAGTATTAGATTAGAGAGAGTAAAGAGGAAAAGGGGTTATATGTTTAGGGAATGAACATTATGAACGTGGGTTGTAATAAGATGGTTAAAAGTTGATTTTTTTCATTAATTTTTTTGAAAAAATATATGAAAAATATAAGTGATGATGTGCCTCAAAATAAATTAAAAGTTGTTGAAAAGTGACTTTTAAGTCACCTCCTAAAAAGCTGTTTTGGAATGATTTTTTAAAATTTTCACACCTTAAAATAGCTAAAATTTGATAATAGGGTACTGTTATAGGGGATGCTATTAGCCCTAGAAGAGAGAGAACACTCGCATACATCATCGATATTCATTGATTCGTTCACCTAATCCTGAGGAAACTCCAATGAGCTGCTCGTCAACAATTCATCGATTACGGAACCGACATTCAAAATCTCAACCTCATCGCCAGGTAACAAAAACATTATTCTTGTGATAAATCTCTACATGTTTGAAATTAATCATTTGGTTTTCCCAATTTTAGGGTTTACTGTCAAAGGCTTTGAAATTAATTTTACAATTGATTTTTGAGATCCCTCATAAATGGAAAAGAAGAATATCAAATTTCCTTTTAGAAGATGATATAAGAATACTTGTGTGTATTACTATAGCTGTTTCTACTATTAAGCCCATTACAATCTTCAATCTTTATGACAAATACAATTTGTTAAAATTCATCTACTAAAACTGAGATTTAGATTCACAATCTGAAACAAAACAAAAACAAATAAAAAACAGAGATTTAGATTTATAGTGACAATACTGGAGGCTTAGCACAAATATATTAGTTGTCACTCATAAACCACACCATGTACTAGAGATTTAGATTTGTGTCTAGTTTAACAAGTTTGCAGTAGGTCATCAGATGAAATTTATGATGTTATTTGTAACATGTTAATTTCTTTCCCTCTCCCCTCTCTTTTACAGCTTCCCTCATAAACCACCGCCTCTTTCCCCACCAACAACCACCTCCCTCCCTATTTACCAAATCTCAAATCACTGTCAAAACCAGAATCACCACCACAAACTCACAACCACCAACATCAAATTTGAACCATTTTGGTAATTTACACGTAATTTATTCAATGGAAAATAGCATCCCAGCAACATTGCTTTTCAAATCAATATCAAAGAATCCAACAATTTTTGGTTCTACAAGTTTATATTCAAGAAGAATAAAATAAAACAAAACAAAACAAAATAAAATAAAATAAATAAAATGACAATAAAGAGAGAAGCCACATCATGTGTGTGTGGTTTCACTACTACCATACACCCACAGCACACAAAAGCCCCAAGGCTACATCTCTCTTTTTATTAATTTTCACTCAATATTTATTTTTACAATAAAAACCTCTATATAAAAAGTATATTTTAGTAGGTAATAGAGAGGATTGGATTTTATCTAATATCTAACATATCCTAACTAAACAAAATAGCTTTGCACTATCAGTGCACAAGTCTATGAGGCTCGAGTTTTGCCAAGTGCACAAAATTAGTGCACAGAAAAAATATGCAGAATAGAAAGCGATCAATTCTGTGCATTTTCATGGGCAGCAATTCTGTGCACATAGGTGAGGCTCTATAGAATTTTTTGGGTGGATAACAATTGAGAAACAGCGTGCATGGTTGGCCTAGATTGTGGATTGACATGCAAACATGCAATTGCCAATTTTACATGGCACATCACTACCTCTTCAACTTCAGGGGAGGGAGGTGAAAGGCGTTGGTCCAACACAACCTTTAGCTTTATGTTCTCAACAGCTGCGGTCAATAGGGAGGTGATGAAGTCTCCCGGATGCTTTCCTTTGATCACTTCCAGTGCCAACACACCAAAGCTATAAATGTCACACTTTTCAGTTACCTTCATTGTGTAAGCAAGCTCTACAAAAAAAAAGGAGACATGATCATGCACTTGTTTTGTTACACTTTAGATTTTGTACCAATTAGGACAGCTTAAAACTATGTTTACCTGGTGCAACATATCCATATGTGCCTGCAAATGCACTCCAGTTGGAGGAATCTAGCTTCAAAAGCTTGGCAATGCCAAAGTCTGAAACACAAGCCTCGTACTCCTCATCAATCACGACATTGTTGCTAGAAATGTCCCGGTGAACAATGGCCAGTGTGCAATCTTGGTGCATGTATGACAAAGCACTTGCCACACCCTTAATAATATTCACCCTCTTAGGCCAATCCAATTCTTTAGCTTCTTCATCTTTGTTGAAAATTACAGCCAAACTACCTCTTTTAAGGTACTCATAAACTAGAAAAGAGTGTCTAGCATGCGAACAGAACCAAAAAAGCTTCACTATGTTTCGATGTTTAATTTTTGTCAATGTCCTTACCTCATTTAAGAAATCTTTCCGATCAGCCCTCTCGGATAACAGATGAAGTTTCTTCACAGCTACTTGTAGACGCGCCCGAACGTCTTGAGAAAATCCCGTTTTGTTCATTGGGCTCACTACAGTTCGGACTCAATGTCACGGTTCTTAATCTGATCTTGCAAAGTGCAATGCGAGATTGATAAATCACCAAAGAGTCCAAGTCCGGCAAATCGTTTTGAAGAACTGATTTTTAGAAAGAAGTGCCAAACATGGACTACTTTTCCAGATACAGAGTCGCCACCTAAATATTTTATTTTGGGGGAATTTAGGAAACCCTGACTCGCGCCTAATGCCACGCGTCCGTCATCACCAAAGTTGCCTCGGCTCGGGAACTTGGGTACGAGAGGAGAAGGTCATGCAATGAGCACCCCCGCTCGCCCAATCAAAGATCAGCCACTACTAAACATGATATCTTGTTTTTGAAAACACATGTGCTCTTATTCCGGTTTTTAACCTATAATTACTATGTCATGCGCACAGCATACAAGTATAGACTGGATCGCCTAAGTTGGAACAAAACATCTCATGTTTGTTTTTGAAAGCGGTTTGCTACACGCAAGTAGGCTAATGGAGCACTCAACAATCATCACCGGTTGCTGTTTGGACAGCTTGGACTTGGGTTACACTAGGAGAGTGCAACAGCCTTGGGCTTCAAAAATCTTGATTTGGGTTTGCTACTGGTGTGAAATTGGCAGTTTTGGAATGCCGTGTGATTGGGAGGTTTTTTTTTGCCTCTTCTTCTTTGTTTTGTATTGGTCTCTCGCCAATCTGTGGGTGTAGTGCTAGCAGATGATTGTGCTTCCTCCTTGGTGCCAACCTAGTTGGGATTGTGGAGTGTTTGCTATGATGCTTTTTGCACTTCCCTCCTTTATTGATGTATTTTGTTGCTTGTTTTGGCTCATTTCATCAATAAAGTCTCCCTTCTTTGCTGATCAAAAAAAAGTGGGCTTAGAAAACATGGTGATTTGCCACACTCAAGTGGGCTTAAAACTCATAATCAATGAATTGTTCCAATTTCAAGTAATCCAACCTTCACCCGCAGGCATTCAGGCAGTTGTATCACATAAGCAGTTAGCCTCATGGCAAGCATGCTATCATGGCAGTCACTCACACACATGCAAGGATACTAAAGCATAAACACTTACTGAGTACTCCGAGCCAAAACAAAAAGCTATGTTAGAAATCAATGCATAATCCTAGCTATGTCAAGAATGCCTACTGCAACACATACAAAATGCAACTAAGATAGGCTCGGCTATTCTAAAATGCCATGTGAAATGCAATTTGATACATGTATTCAAACAGGAATTGAAATACAATGCCGTTAGTATGATGCGTCGAGCCCGGTGCATGCAAAACAGATGAATGGATGCAAACATGCGAGCATAAGGATGCTAATTGAAACATGCCCTAAAACTAACCATCGTAAGCTGGTAAATAAAAGGGAGAAAGAAATGGGGGTTGGAAGACATGCATCACACACACGCACACTTATTTATAACATTTGCCCTCTCGACGAAGGGTCCGAATAAATAATACAGAACTGACTAATTAACTAACTATTCAAGCTAATTAATTATTGCACAACCAAAATTGAAACAAATATACATTCTAAGCTAACAAAACACTGAAATGGCCTCATGACGAGGGATGCATGCATGCTCGAATCACCTCGCTCGGAAATCCATCGCGATGCCCCGATTTGCCTCTGTTTGCAACTGGTCCCAGAACTCTGTACAAGGCTCAAGAAGGCTGAAACTCCACCACGGGAACCTGTGGGAACGCTACTGACCAGATATTGGCCTTGGAGACCACCGGCCGACCACCTTTTGTGGTGAAAACCAGAAAAAGTGGTCGGCCTACCATTTTATCTAGTCGGCCGACCAGTTTTTGCTGCTGGTTTCTGGTTTTCTGCAACAGAGGGCAAGAGAGGGGCATGGCAAAGTATTTGCAAGATATGTGTGCACAACCACCCTCCCTATCATTTCATAAGCTCAAAGGAGTTTAGTCCTTGACCCTTGGGCCACCAATCACGCATCTCGATGCATGATGGCCGAGGAGTCGAATTGCATGACTCGATGTGAAATGAATGCACATACAAGCACCTAAAGCCAACAACTCCGTCATGGGTAGTCAAGAGTGTCAATGACCGAGAATCGAGGCACGTTTCATCATTTCAAGCATGAAACGTCTGTCGTTTCCTGTGTTTGGACTAAGCCCTATTCCAAACACAATGCAACAAACAAGGCATGCACCAATGCAACTCTAGCTTGCAATCTCAATGCAATGCAACTAAGTCATGCAAACATGCAAGGGATAACATGCAAACATGCGACTAGTATACACAATGCTATGAACTAACAATGGCATACTCAATGCACATGACATTTAGCATACACAATGCACATAGAAACTAACAGACACAATGAGATGAACAAGGCATGCACAATGCAATGATCAATCATGCGACAACATGGCATACTCAATGCTATGAACTACAATGGCATACTCAATGCAAAATGGACTTAAACCAAAATCCAAAACTCATGCTAGCATACACAATGCAAGGACCTAAGCCCAAGGCACAAAAACACAACTTTGCACATGCATTGAAAGGACTAACACATGGAGTACAATGGCATATATTCCAGCTCTGAAATGGCATATAACATGACTCCAAAATGACTCCGAATCATGCAAACAACTCACACAACGCATGTTGAATGGCTCAAGCATTGAAACTAGTGAAGTGCATTACACTATAGGCATGCAAAGCGATGCTCAAATGATGAAACCAACCCCAAATAGACCCTATGGAGGCCCAAAACAGTAACAAAATCGGTTGGGATGATGGCTTGAAAGGCACAAAAGTGAAGCTCATGCAATGGCTCACAAATAGGGCATAAATGCACAACTCTAAAGAGCACTTAAAGCATGGAAAATATAGAAGTGTAGCATCCCTATAAGCTCTGAAATATCATGCCCAATAATGCCAAAACATGTAAATAGCTCAAGTTAAACATGCAAAGGACCTTCAAACTCAAAGCTAGTCAATGCTATTACATAACAAGTATGCATGGCTGGCATTTTTCGACCAAGGGGCCTTAAGACAGAGCTAAGGCAGCCCAAAATATGAACAAAATTAGTTTGGATCAAGGCCAAAATATGCTAGAATAGAGGGCCAAAACATCATGCATTTCAAGCTAGTAAACATGATTTACACTACAAGCATATGAAGCATATGAGAGGCTACCAAACCAGCCAAAATTAGAATCATGGCATGCCAAATGATGGCTAAAAACCCACTGAGACATGACCAATACATGCAAGAATGAGGTGCTACTTTGATAAGCCATGAAAGGGATTATTCTACACATGCAAGAGGCAAACACAAGGTGACCAAACCAGCCATAGAAGTAGTCTAAGCAGGTCCCAAAAGTCACCAAAAAGGGCCTGAACCAAGCCTTGGAAGTATGAAAGTATGTGCTCCTTTGAAAGGCCAAAAATGCAAACAAACAAGGCCAAAAGAGAAAGGGTCTCCCCTCTCTGATTTAGGCCATCAAAACCACATGCCAACCACTGAAAATCTGCTGGATTTTAGTGGCTAAAAGGCCAAGCAAAGATCAACACAAAGGTCTCATGGCATGGCACAAAACAAGGCTAAATAGAGCATGCAAGAGGGTAGATGACCCTCAACACCAAAAGAGCCTTAAAAAAACATAAAAAACACTTAAATATGAAGCTTTTTTCAGTTGACAATAAAGCCTAAATATGCATGCAAGTATGGCTAAGTGGATGATCAAGATAGAGCTTAAAAAGAGGGAAAATGAGTTACCCTTGAAGCTCAGCGAAACCAGCAAGTTTTGGGACCAAAAACCAACTCTTCAACCTCTAAAAATACCCTCCAAGAACCTCAGATCAATGGTGGAGGTGTATGGCTATGAGGTGTGGTGCAATAGGTCAAGAACAATACACACTTTGAGCCAAAATATAGAGATATAGAAAGAGATATGTATTTTGCCTTCAACAAAATTCTAACCCTGTGCAAAGGAGAGGGAGGGCCTCTCTTATAGAGGTTTGAAGCTAAAGCTTCCTCAAGAAGCTAAAAGCTTGGATGCAAATCCTCCATACACGTGTATGGAGGATACAATCTGTGCCTTCCAGCTGGCACAGCTGGCATCCACACAATCTAACAAAACAGGAGGAAACCAGCCGACCAGAAAAGGTGGTCGGCCGACCAGGGCAAGTGGTCTCCCAGATAAAAAGTGGTCGGCCAAGAGTATTGGTGGTCTCCACACTGAAAACAAGCCAATGGTGGGGTGGGAAACCAGAAAATGCGGCCCAAAGACCAAGAAAACCAGTTTCCCGACCACGAAATTGGCTGGCAGGGAGAAAAGTGGTTTCCAAGGAGAAAGCTGGTCTCCCACCCTTGTACCACCTTCCAAACAAGGAAAACAAGGTTCGTGCCAAGAACGAATCAACACGGATGCAAAACGAGAATTCGGGAGGCAAAGCGCACGGCCGGGTGCCTCGAAAACTAGCTATTCAGCACAAAAAGTGGCGTATGACCACAAAAGTGGTCTCCTGGACCATAGTGCCCCTCTAGACAGAGGAAACAAGGTGTGTTCCAAAAATCGTACCAAACGAAGAATGTTAAGTGGTCCCGAGCCGAGGCGCACGGCCGACAGCTCCGAAAATTAAAAACTAGTCTCCAAATGGGAACAGTGGCCTACAACCATGAAAAGTAGTCTACGACCAGTAAGAGATGGTCTACAAGACCTCTCCCTCCATCCGGGAAGAGAAAACAAGACTTAGTCCGCAGACCGAGTCAAAGTACAAAGAGTCCCGAGGTCCGGAGGTAAGGCTCTCAGCCAAGAACCCCGAAACCTCGAAACGAGCATAACATGCACAATCACCGAGCGCTCAATCAATGACGTCTGAGTCTTAAGGTCGGTCAAAAATAGGGTGTCTACACTACTGTACATTGCTCTTCCATCGAATATTGATATCGATAACAAATCTTCACTCGGAGGTTAGGTGTCACACTCTTCAACTTATGACTTTCTCTTTCTTGGATCGAAGACGATGAGAAGTCTGATGAATGCACCTAGAAGTAAGAGCACTCCACCAAGAGGAAGCACAATTATAAGAACAAGTGTCCTTTTTTCTATAGTGTGTGTGTGCAATGTGGAAGGAATTTTGCAAGGCTGCAAGCCGTGACATTTCAACACGGATCTTTGTTCCCTTGTATTGCTTCTATTAATGCATTCATGAAATCATTGCTCATGGGAATAGGACCTTGCAACTCATTGTATGATATCAACACACGCCAAGCCACGCATATCTTCAAAACTCTTTGGAATGAGACCAAAGAGTTTATTGTGGAAGAGGTTCAACTTCTCCAAGCTATGCAAATTTGTGATTTCCAATGGTATTTCCCCTATGAGAATGTTACTACTCAGATCCATCTTGGTCAGTTAAAATAACTTACCAATCTGTAATGGAATTTTTTGGTTGAACATGTTGCTCAAATTCAAGTAAAACAGATTTCGATAGTTCTCCAAAATACTTGGTATTGGCCCACTAAATTTGTTTGTGGATTGATCAAGTTTCGACAACTTAGCTTAGTAATCTGAGTTCTTGAGGTATCCAACCTGAAAGCGTATTAGCCAAAATTAGCCACTCCAAAGAAGTCAACTTTCCAAATTTCTTTGGGATCTCCCCAACTAAACGATTTGAAGATAAATCTAGTCGTTCTAGCTGTGTTGACTTTCCAAACCCTGGTGGAATGCTACGAGTGATGTTATTTCTTACTTTTATTCGAAGTGTTAAATTTGGGAATATTCCCCAATTTTCTGAGAATTTGCCATAAAAATTATTGTTACTTAGATCTAGGTAAACCAGGTTTGGATTAGTGCCAAAATCTTCAAATATATTTCCAATGAGTTGGTTTCCCTCAAAGCGAGCTGTGGCTAAGCTTGAGCAGTTTCTCAGACATTTAGGGGTTGTACATGTGAGCTGATTGTGGTGCACTGTGAAGTAATGAAGTTTAACACCTTGGCAAAGCTCTGAGAGATTGCCAAAAAATTGATTTTCATCCAATACCAGCTCAACCAATTTTTTCAAATTGTCAAATTCCTGTGGAATGTGGCTGGATAGTCGGTTGGCGTGGAGGTTTAGAATTTCTAAATTGGTCAAATCACCTAAAGAAGCTGGAATGGGACCACTAAGTGGATTCGAACTCAATTCTAGATAAATAAGGACTTAAAGTTCCCTAATTCTTTATAAATTGGACCGGAGAGTTGATTATTCCAAAGGTATAGTTGAGCTAGGGAGCTAAAATCACCTAAAGATGTTGGGATTGAGCCAGTAAGATTGTTGGTTTGAAAGGTTAGGCTTTGTAGTGATTTCAACTGTCCTATCTCTTGGGGAATGGAACCGGATAGGGAATTGTTGAACAAGTGCAACACAGTTAGGTTATTCAAGTTTCCCAATGTAAAAGGAATAGAACCTGTGAGATTGTTTCCATCCATGTAGAGCTCAACAAGATTGACTAGGTTTCCCATTTCGGGAGGAATGAAACCAGAAAGATCATTTCCATAGAGATATAGACGAGTCAAGTTTCCCAAATTGGTTAAAGTATGCATGGGACCGGAAAGACTCTTGGTGTACAAAGCAAGCTCAATTAGAGACTTTAACTGGTCTATCTTTTGAGGAATTGAGCCATTTAACTGATTATCGAACAAGTGGAGAGTTTCAAGATTTATTAGCAAGCCGATTTCTAGTGGGATGTTTCCTGACAACTGGTTGGTGGACAAATCAACATAGATGAGTTTGGAGAGGGAACAAATTAGAGGTGGGTTGACACCAAAGAATTTATTGATGCTAAGCTCGATATATGCAAGATTGGGAGACAATGAAAATGAAAAGTTGTCGAGCATACCATTTACACTTGAATTTGTGACGTTCAATCTAATGACGGTTCCATCAAGGTTGCAAGAAACTCCAAACCAATTGCAGGGACTGGCATTTGTTGAGCCACTATCATGGGGTGGAAGGATCCATGAAGTTAGCAAGGAATCATTTGCACTTTGCAGGTTGGCTTTGCATGTGAGGAGAGCATTAGCTTCTTCATCAGAAGCAGAAGCAACATTGATGGTTGAAGAAAAGAGTGTAACAAATAGGACTAAGGAAAAAAGGCAGAGTGGTTTCTCTAAAGGTCCCATTGCCTTTTCTTTTTCCTTTTTTCCTTTTTTCCTTTGATAGATAACTAACGGGTGTTCAAGGCTCTAATTTATACACAATTTTTCTACTGGTTCCCATATCATTGATGCTATATAGACTTTGAACTTGGAAGTCTTCGTAATTAGGTCCCATATATGTAATTTTTTTGAAGGTAAAATGATGGTCGACTTGAGTCCGTTCCACATGCTAAGGTTAAGATCTTTGTGTCTTAATTAGGGAAGAAAAACTAATCCCCTTATCTTTGATCTTTAGCTTTGGGGAAGTTTTTGGAAAGAACCTAGCTACATGAATGTTGAATAGACCTAATATTATACTGAAAAATTGAAGCAAAAGGGCTTGTGTGGAAATCTAGAAATAACTACTTTAGACACTTTTTTTTTTTTTGGTTGCTTTTGTTGAAGTTTAAAAGAAATTTTATTTTGCCTCTCAAACTATCACTTAATAATCAATTTAACTCATGTCCTTTTAATTATATTAATTTTACCCCTAAACTATTAAATTTTAGATCAATTTGACCTCTACCTTTAGCTTCCATCTAAATTAGATAGAATTTGCTAACGTGGCATCGAAACTTTATCTAAAATTTTATTTTCCCTCCTAAACTATCTCTAAATATCAATTAGACCCTTGAATATATTAGAAAACTTAAATTTAAATATTTAATTAATAATTTCTTATAAATAAATTTTAAATAATAATTTTTACAAAAAAATATATAAAAAGCCTTATTTAAAACTGTCTCTTTAAGCCTCCAATTACCTTGAGCCGGTTCCTAATTTATTCTCTTTCATAGCAATTGCAGCTAGTTTACTCCCTAGATAAATTTCAATAGGACTGATCGATTAGTAGTACGTTGAAAACTGAGTGGGTAAAAATCTATACTACACAAATTCATCCAAAATCGAATAATTTAAATGTAAAAATTGATATTATTAAAAGGATAGAGGTTGAATTAATTTTTGAGTGATAATTTCGGGAACTAAAATTTCCTCTCAATTTTTTGTCATTGTTGTGGTTGGGTTATTGGTTAGAGAAGTTTGTGATCTTACACATTTTTTTACTGCTTTTGTAGATTTCTACTAAGTGCTGCAACTTGACCGAATTCAGCTTAAAGTGTATAAGGATTTTCTTGAATTAACATAAAAATTTTAGCTTGAGTTGAGCATTGATTTGTCCTAAATAAATAAACTGCACTTTCTATTAAAAAAAATTACAAATATGGAGCATATAAGGAAATTAATTTGAGTTATACACACCAAACATTAGAATTAATTTCCTTGCAATATGATTAAATCTAACTGTATAAAAATAATTAATATTTGTGTAACGCCCTCAAAATAATAACATTAAACCCATCAAATGAGACATTCATTGACATAAGAAATAACCACATTCTTCCATATATCAGAGTTTCATTACAAAAGTATTACATGTTAACAACAAAAGCAAATGCCCTATGGGCTTACAGCTTTCCAAGTTAACACTTGGTTACAACAAAAGAGTGTTAACTCATTTACACATTAAGCCCTTGGCTTGAATTTACATGTAATACATCAAAAGGCAATTGATTGCCTTATAAAAAGGAACCCTTCACAGAACAAAAACTGGGCTCACATGGCTGAAATGGAGGATCTGTCACAAGATATAGATGATATGCATCTATCAGCTGTCGTCTCTGAAGTGGGCATGGTGTGGTCCAACTTGAAGGAATGGTAAGTGGAACTAGGGCCACTCGCCACATCTGTGCAGAGAAAAAAATGTTCACAACTTTCAAACAGGTTTTAAATAGTGAAACGTTGTTCATAGGAAATTTTGTGACCTCAATCGTTAAGGGTAAAGGAAATGTGGTCCTGAAGATGACTTCAAGAAAAGAGCTGACTCTGAACGATGTCTTTTATGTGTCGGACATGCGTAAGAACCTTGTCTGGGGGTTGCTCTTAAGCAAGCATTGCTTCCACATGGTTTTGAGTCTGATAAGCTTGTATTGAATAAAGAGCAGGATCTATGTGGGGAAGGGGTATATGTCAGGCGGTATGTTTAAGCTCAATGTAATGACTATTATCCCTAAGATTAATGAAAAAGCTTCTTCTTTTGCTTATGTGCTTGAGTCTCCTGAATTATCGCATGGTAGACTTGGTCATGTGAATTTGAACTCTTTGCGTAAATTAATTAAGTTAGATCGTATACCATCTTTCAAGATTAATCCAAATCATAAGTGTGAAACTTGTGCAGAAGATGAATTGGCAAGGACTTCATTTCATTCTGTTGAAAGAAGTACCGAGCCTTTAGATTGAGTGCATAGTAATGTGTGTGCCTTGAAAATCGTAGCAACAAGTACTTCATCACTTTTATTGATGATTGCACTAAATACTATTATATGTATATTCTTAAAAGCAAAGATGAGGTGATTGATAAATTTATTCTCTTTAAGAATGAAGTTGATAATCAACTAAGCAGAAAGATCAAGGCTTTAAGAAGTGATCGTGGTGGAGAATATGAATCATTTTTTATTAAGATCTGTACTCAATATGGAATTATCCACCAAACTACAACGCTTTATTCCCCTTAGCGGTGTTGCTGAGCGAAAAAATAGGATGTTGAAGGAAATGATGAATACAATGTTGATAAGTTCTGGGTTGCCGCAGAACTTGTGGGGGGAAACAATTCTCTCTGCGAATTACATTCTAAATAGAATACCTCGGAAGAAAGTGGACAAAACTCCGTATGAATTATGGAAAGGCCATTAGTATAGCGATCCCGGGTTTACCCTTGTTGAACAGTGATCCGGACATGTGTCCGTGGATGTTGGTAATTGATTATTATCTTGTTTACATCTGTTACTACTTTGAATATTGAGTTATAGGATGTGTTGGGCAGGTTTGTTACAGGTTGGTTGTGTTTGGGAGCTCCCCGCTCGAGCGTCACTCACAGACTCCCGCTCGAGCGCCAACAATCCCGCTCGAGCGGCGGATACACACTCCCAGAACTTTTACAGAACCAGGTCTCCGCTCGAGCTTCTAACTCCCCGCTCGAGCGGCACTCACACAACCCCGCTCGAGCGGCCAATACCACGCTCGAGCGTCCAACACTGCACAGAAAATACTGGATGGGTGCAATTCCCGCTCGAGCGCCAAAACCCCCGCTCGAGTGGACAGGTCAAAATCTGGGCAACTAGTTTTGGTTTCTAAACTCAACCAACCTGTAACAAACCTGCCCAATACATCCCATAACTCAAATACTAAGTAAAAGGATGTAAACAAGATATCCGGATCACTGTATAACAAGGGTAAATCCGGGATCACTATATTTTGTGCGTATCTTTTATGTTTATTATAAGTAATTATATATTTTAAAAACAGAATCTAGATTGATCGAGTTCGTAGAGTCTCTACCTAGGTTTTGATAGAAATTAATTTGGAATTGACAAATTTTAATCCAAATCTTGACTAAATTAAAATTACATTACCAAACCTCCCAAATTTTTATAGTTAAACTCAAGTTTCTTAAGTTGGCACCCCTATCTTTATTAGGTGATGATAATACTTTTGAATTCTGGCTCTGACTAGAGGAGCGATTTGGGCAGACTCAGCAGTCCAAAAACTCTCTTTTTATTTTATTTTTTTTTATTTTTAATTCGGTACAAACTTAGGTAAAAATTCAGCCCTAGCTTGCCTAGAGGCACTAGGCAACCTGAGCGACTTAAAGCTTCTATATAAACATACATATAAATTATTAACCGTTGAATGATGTTAAAATAATCTAAACTGTTATTATCATATAAACAAGTAGGGTTGGGCTTAGGCTTAAACAAATGAGTCTGAATAACAATCGAGTTTGAGTAGAGTTAGGCAACTCTCAACATAAGTTGAGTTGGATTTGAACAACTTATAATTTTGGCTTGTAAACTTGGGAATTGGTCTTTGTATATTATCAAGTTGGTGATGTTTATATTTGAGAAAAGTACTTATACTACTTAGCAATTATACTACTTACGAGCAACTACCAAAGTTCAAGGGTAAAATTAATGCAGGTTAATTGTACTTTTCATTACTGTAGTTTGACCCAAATTTCATTTAGTGCCTATAGTTTCAGTTTGAGCAATTTGGTCCTTACACTTTAAGTCTAGTTTTAATTTGGTTCTTCCGTTTAAATTTTTGTTAATTTTGTTTGTGTATGCACCTTAGAAAATTCACAAGTGTCTGAAAATTATTAATTTTAACTTTTAATTTAGATGGAGGGATCAAATTGAAACTAGACTTAAAGTGACAAGTGTCTAAAAATTGTTAATTTTAACTTTAATTTAGACAGACAGACTAAATTGAAAGTAGAATTGAAGGGATCAAATTATTTAAATTGAAGCTATAGGGACTAAAGTGAAATTTTAGATCAGACTATAAGGGTAAAAATTGTAATTAATCCAATTAATGCAATTGAAAGTAGATTGACTAAATTGACACAAACAAGGATCACCATTGTAATTTACCTAAGTTTTTTTGGCTAAAAAGTAAATAAACTAAAAAAATTGCTGAAAAGTCATTAAAAAAGTAAAACACAGTATTCACTTTATAAAAATAAATAAACAGTTACTAAAAAAAAGTTAACTATAATATTTATTTTTTTTGGTACAAGTGGGTTGTAGAATTTTACCTAATTGTGATACCTCAATTGGCCATTTTTGTATGCTTCTATTCATGAGATCACAGGGGTCAATCCCAGTATTTTTGTTTTGAATCAAAGATAGCGTTAGTATGTTAGTACAATTAGATTACAACTAAACGATTCGTCGCTGCTCTATCAGCTCAAAACCCTGGCCTCTCACTCACTACACCTTAAAGGTGTGGCTATTAAACCATTGAGCCACACTCCAATGTCCAGAGAGTCCATCCTTGTCAATGACAAAGATTGATTATATTCTCTCTTATTAAGAGAGTTATATATAGGCCTCGTTTGGTGTAGTTGTTAAGACAGATTATAGATTATA